TTCAAGTAATCGATGAATAATATAATGCAACTGTAAGATTGAAGAACCGACTTTTATTTAGCTCTAGATGAAGTCATATAAGGGGCAAACAAATGATTTTCCCAAACAACGTACTATATATATACCCTTGCTCAACTAGGTAGTTCGGGATAGTAAATTAAATAAATGGACAATTAATGTAACTGTAAAGTTGTAGGATTATATTGATTTTTATATGTGTGTGCCATGTTAAAAATTTTAGAATCAAATCTGAACGAAATTTAAAATAATTTTACAATGATAAAAATATAGGATATGATGCCTACAAAAGAAAAAACATACCCTGGTTATCCCTGAAGTAACGAAGGGGTAGACACATGCCCTTGCTCAAAAGTTTTGGACACTTGGCCTTTGTAGTATAGGACTTGGTAAGCCAAATTGCCAAGTCAATGGTCCAACTAAGAGGTTTCAATATAAGTACAGTAATTATTTGTATGGACCATATTCAGTTTGAAAATTAGTTTTTGATAAGGCTTAACACTGTTACATGTAATTTCCTTGTATAATTGACAAATAACTTGTATTAATTTAATTTGACAAAGAGCTAACCTTATTTTAACAACAATATAATAATAATATGTACTGTAGTACTGGATATATACAACTACACAAACATATCTACATTAGCTGTTTTATAGGTTTATCAACAATAACTAATTTATATGTATTGATACCTACTACTTTCTATATTTACATCTCTTGGTGGTTGGTAATACTAATATAATAGTACTATTTGCTTTTACTTTATTTGTTATGAGTAACTTGTTGGAGTTGTAGGATATGCATTTATCTTATTGGTGCGATATGATTAATTAGTTGAGATTTAGTGATTTGGCCCCTAAGTTGAATAGACAAATCTTCTAATATTTAGAGTTTTAAGCATCATGTATATAAGTAGTACATTTCATACTCATCAAGTGTTATATTCATATTTATTGGAAACTAGACTACAAATTAGGTCATTGTCACCTATTTGTATGATTATGAGGTCCTATACTTTGAAAACGATGTTCAAGACCACGAATGATGTAACTTTGATATTTTTGAAACATTTAGGCATTAACAAAATTGTGTCAATAATTAATACAAAGGAAGAGTCATTTTCTACATATTATTATTGATTATTTTTCACTATCACATTTGTTATTTAATCATAAGTCATAACATTAAACATTGCTGAAAATATTTAGATTATTGACTACTCAAAAGTTATCAAAAATTAAGAATTCCGGTCAAAAGCAAGTGTTTTGTCCTTTTTTTTGTATTTGAAAAGTCATTTTCGCTAATTCCGATCATCCGGAAAAGTAATTGAAATTTCTAACCACTTTTCTGGTTGTCGATTTTTTTCACACAAGGCGCATGCATGAACCTTACTTTTCCAACAACTTTTTTGAGTGGTCGGAATATCGCGTTTTTCAACAACAAAAAAAAAAAGTATAATGGCACAACTCATGAGGGTATATATGAGATGACGTGACTACAAACTATCTTAAAACCAACGAAAGTATATTTTGCTACACTTGAGATCTTACCCGCACAAAAAGAATTAGTCTAAAAAAGAAAATACAATGCACATTAACACTTGCCATAAATTACATTAAATGATACAAAATTTGATTAAAAAAGTAATAGATAAATTAATAATATCCAATAAAAATAGTTTTTTCGGTCCATCCCATATTAAAAATTGTCGATTGACCAAAACTTGGAGTACTACTAATGGATTAAAAGTAATCCAACTGCTAGGGTTTTATACTTTTATATTAGCAGCAGTAATAAAACAAGAGCATTTTAGTAATATTTGCTAGCTGGAATAAATGCAGATTATTATTATTATTATTATTATTATTATTATTATTATTATTATTATTATTATTATTATTATTATTATTATTATTATTACAAATCCTAACAACCTGTTGAAAATTTGACATTTGCTTTATTTTTTATTTTTCATATAATAATAGTAAAAATAATAATAATTATTACAACTATTTATTTTGTCGTGAGTGCGAGCTGGTGGGTTTAAAAGATTACAGAGTACAGACATATCCGAATGTAAGACGATTACTGTTGATTTTTTGTAAGACAGATTAGTGACAACTAAAGTTTAATTTATTTATAATTATAATTATTATATACATTAAAGTGCTGTTTTACCATTTAATTAGCTGTCGTCTGTCGGTTTGCGGGGGGAGTGGGAATACGACTTGGTCAAATGATTTGAGTGAGTCAATTTTCACTAATAATGATGTCATCCTATTCTGTTCATATTGCGAAATAAATGCGTCACAGTACCACCGTTTTGGGTAAATATTTGTCCAATATTTGAATTTTAAAAAATTAAGATTTTTTAAAAAAAGACAATGAAACATGAAAATGTCTTTGGAATTTAAAAATAAAAGGAAACTAAAATAGAAAAAAGTGAAATGATTTTTTTTTATATAACTAGAGAAATTTGCCGCGACTACTCAAAGGTGGGTGTACACTAGGTGAATATTGCTCTTATTAATAGTCCATAGCCCGCAAATTATAAATAAATTATAGAACAAATTGCACTTTTGGTCCTGTGAGTATTATGGTACTGATAATTTGAGTACGTGACTTTCAAAACTCCGAATTTAAACCTTTAACTATGCAATTATTGACAGATTTGGTCCTCCGGGCCAAATTGCCGGCCAATTTTAGCCGAAAAAACATAAATTGATTCAAATTGTTTTTTGACGAGGGTAAAATTGTCATTTCACTCTCTTCTTCTTCATTCTCCCCCTTCTTCTTCGTTCTTCATCCGGAAAAACATACGCTTTATTAAAGATTCAAGGTCCACTTTTGCAAGTGAAGTCACATCAGATTGCATTCTATTTTAGCCATAAGTGGTCGATTTGAAAGAACCATATGTTCCAATAGACAATGAAGCCTTAAATGATTTCCTAGATTTAAAGGAATTAGGTCTTTCTAAAACACACTGAGTTAGAAGATCTAGTGGTGTCTCTGGCCAACTCAGGCCAATCTTCTCTGTTCCACTAAGCGTTTTGGTTAATTTCTTGCCATAATGAATATTCATTTCCTCTACATTTTCTTCACTTTCTTCAGTTCTTAGGCAATTCAACCTATCCAACCTCTTTGGTGAAGAAAATTGTCTCTCAACGCACACTTTGATTGGCATGGTCAACTCATGACCACCACTGGATGCAGACACATCAGCATTGACAACAGTATCGTTGCCCGACATGGTTATATTGTTGGCTTCAACAAATTCATTACATTCTTCATTTAATGGAACAATTTCCTCCTCACCATCACTATCAAATAGTATCGTTGCCCGGATGAAGAAGAAGAAGAACGAAGAAGAAGAACGAAGAAGAAGGGGGAGAATGAAGAAGAAGAGAGTGAAATGACAATTTTACCCTCGTCAAAAAACAATTTGAACCAATTTATGTTTTTCCGGCCAAAATTGGCCGGCAATTTGGCCCAGAGGACCAAATCTATCAATAATTGCATAGTTAAAGGTTTAAATTGGGAGTTTTGAAAGTCACGTACTCAAATTGTCAATACCCTAATACTCACAGGACCAAAAGTGCAATTTGTTCATAAATTATACTAGAAAGACCTTGTGCAACGGGCTTAACCGCGAAAGAGTTGATAAGAATCGAACTTGTAACTTTTTAGAACAAGAATCATGCTTCACATACCAAATTACTTTTTTTTTTTTTTTTTTTGGTAAATGAAATTAATTTTGAAAATACTTCATAGACTTGAAATAAACATATGGTTCATTTCATTAAGTTTTTGTTTCCTAATTAAGTGCTTGAAGACAATTTATATTTTATCATAATGGATACTCGCACTAATAAAAACATTATCATTATGGTTGGTGCTATCATGTACTTTGAGTTTGATGTTTGCACAAGTGAGAGAATGAAAGGTTTTATCCTATCAAATGAAACCCAATATAAGATTTAACCCGACAATTCCAAACATGTCCATTTCATTGTGAGATAATAATGAAAGGTTCATGTTCAGTTGAGTTACCATGATTTACATCCTCCCAAATACTCTGTCGGGTCGGCGTGCGGGGGGCCCTTAGGGTTGGGATTCAGCCTTTTGGAAGAATAATGAAAGGTTTCATTAGCCTGACAATTCCAAACATGTCCCTTTCATTAGAAAATAAAACCTATTAGTGCAAACAGTGAAACAATAGGAAACCTTTGAATTGCTGCATTGATGGTCTCCAGCTATTTAAGGTCCTCTTTTTCTCACTGCTCAAAAATAAAGTCGTATATGCCATTGGAGAGTTGAGTAGATGTGAGATACAAAATCACTAATACAAGCAAGCAGTTCAGATTCAGGCAACAACAAACATCAACTAAGGCGGATCTATATATATATATATATATATATATATATATATATATATATATATATATATATATTTCATGTTATTTCATGGACATCCTCATATCACTAGCTAACTTGTTGAATCCCAGGGATATCAAGCAAATAAATACTTAGTGTGCCTCTATCACTACATATATACAACTTGATGAAGTTGATCCACGGCAAGTCTTTTTTGATCAAGATACAGCTTCATACAACTCTTTTACAAGTCTGATTATATTATTAATGATATTAAAGAAGCTATGAGAAATTTTACTCACATAATTCTTTTCTTCTCTTTTGTTAAATAGTATACGAACTGCTTTGTGAATCCGGTTCTTTGTCAGACTGTGGAGCTTAATTGGTATTTCACCCGTCTTCATCCTTCACTTTTAATGCTTTATTTGTTGATCTTTATATTTAATGAATTTTTTTCTTTCAAAAATTATTTATCCCATCAAACTTGTAATCTTGTGTTTATTTAATTTGAGGTTAAAATGATAAAATGGCGGTCAATTAATGTGCTTCGGATATAGTACAGTATCATATATAGTAATGTCTATCCACGAAAGAGGAGGAAAAATCTTGACCTCACATAAAATATCACCATTTCAAATTAAGGGCCCCAATCTTACTCTACCTCTTCTCACTTTCCTCTAACACTTCTTAGCTCATCACCAAATCTTAATCGCTATTCTTTCATGTTCTATGTATCCAATTCCAATACATTATAAAATCCATAACCATTTCACATTAACACTTGTTTTTCACGTTAATTCTTCTGTTAAAACCCAAATAGCTTCGCGCGGAGCTTGTTTCTGGATGAACAACTGCATGGCTAGGCTGTTGCAATTTAGCCCTTGTTCTTCCTCCGCATTCCACCGCGAGACGTTTTGTTATTCGAAAAAGTTCGCTGTTTTGCCGCGCAGAATCCATTCCTTGAATTGGGTCTCGGGAATTTGTGGTCAAATCCAACCAAGGAAGCATTTTGAGCTCATGTCCTCCAATGGCTACCCTCTCAATGCCGTTTCCGTGTCTCTGCAAGATGGTGAGCTTTGTTTCCTTGCACTCTTTACACCTATCATATCAATTATCGTCTGTTTTTGTTATTTGCTCAAATTGGGTATCGTTCAATTGGTTTTGTATAGCTTTATTTGATTTGGGAATTGAAGTACCATCTTTGAGTAGTTGCATAAATACTTAAAAACCGTAACTTTACTAATTGGCTTAATATGGTGCAAATATACTTAGTGCCCCAAATTTTTTTTTTAAAAAGAATGTCTGATGTTTGAAAAAGGCTCAGCTGCAATGTTGCCAGAAGAATTTCCTTTATTTGAGTTAGCAAAAGCAGAGTCCATGCTCAGCATAACTGTTGTTGGAGCTTCCGGGGACCTTGCGAAGAAGAAAATCTTTCCAGCTTTGTTTGCACTTTTTTATGAAGATTGTCTTCCAGAGGTCAAATCTTTAGTTTTCTCCCGTGTTATATACATTGGAGGCTCCGGCTACAGCTACTTATACTGCTTTTACTCTGCAGAATTTTGTCGTCTTTGGTTATGCTCGGACTAAAATGAATGATGAGGAACTACGGCACATGATCAGTACAACTTTAACTTGCAGAATTGATAAGAGGTTTGAATTTGTTATTGACATTAAACATTGTAATACTTTCACAGTTAAGGAATTGTTAATTTGGTCCATTTGATGAGAGCGTGCAGGGAGAATTGTGATGCCAAGATGGAACAGTTTCTGAAAAGATGCTTTTATCACTCCGGTCAATACAGTTCCGAGGATCATTTTGCAGAATTGGACAGAAAACTAAAAGAAAAGGAGGTACAATTTTTTTTTATTGGCAAAAGAAGTCTAGGAAGACATGGAACTAAAAATTATTTGATTAATAATCTACATTGCACTATCATTTCTATGAAGAAGGAAATGTAGAGCCAAAGACAATTTAGAAATTTTGCTTAGACCAAATAATTTGTATGATATCAACAACCACCTCTAAAATCTGATAAAAAACCAGTTTTCTCTTTTTATCTTGCTTTTCTATGATTAGTGCATTATAAAGAGTTCCTAACAATACAATTTTCTGTTTAGGGTGATAGAGTATCTAACAGGTTGTTTTACTTGTCAATACCTCCAAATATATTTGTGGATGTGGTGAAATGTGCTAGTGGTAAAGCGTCTTCAACAAGTGGTTGGACGAGGGTCATTGTTGAAAAACCATTTGGACGTGATTCTGAATCATCAAGAGAGTTGACAAGATGTCTAATGAAGTATTTAACTGAAGAGCAAATATTCCGGTATATTCAGTCCCGACTTTTTCTTTTATTGGGAAGTTTAGTGATAATGGGAAAGCTTGACTTTGTCTTTCTTTCTATTTTTTTCATTAAGAATCGACCATTACTTGGGAAAGGAGCTTGTTGAGAATCTCTCAGTTCTTCGTTTCTCAAATCTTGTTTTTGAGCCTCTCTGGTCCAGAAATTACATTCGCAATGTGCAGTTTATATTCTCTGAAGATTTTGGTACTGAGGGACGAGGAGGGTGAGGCTCGTCTGGCTACTACTGCAACTTGAATATAATAGTTAAGTTTTGAGTTTGCGATCCAGCACTCACTCCCTTGTTTACAGATACTTTGATAATTACGGGATCATCCGAGATATTATGCAAAATCATTTGCTTCAAATATTAGCATTGTTTGCAATGGAAACACCTGTCAGCTTGGATGCTGAAGATGTCCGAAATGAAAAGGTTTTCAATAGCATACAAATCATTCCTTGTTCGTACTTTTACCATATGTGTCGTCCTCGTACATATTCTACCTCTCTTGTTATCCATCCCTTTGTAATGAATGACTATAGAGTTTGAGATGTTCTGATCCTAGATGGCTTGAAAGAAATTATTGTAATTTAATGATTACCCTAATTGATTCAGGTGAAAGTTTTAAGGTCAATGAGGCCATTGCAGCTTGAAGATGTGGTTATAGGCCAGTATAAAGGCCACAGCAAGGGTCTTAAGTCCCATCCAGGATATACCGATGATCCAACCGTGCCCAAGGACAGTATTACTCCAACCTTTGCTGCTTTAGCACTCTTTATTAACAATGCCCGCTGGGATGGGGTTCCTTTCCTTATGAAAGCGGGGAAAGCTCTGCACACTAAGCGGTATGTGGATTGTCGTATTCCTAACATTGATTTTTCCAAATTTATGTCTTGTTGAGGATTCCAATGTCGAATTGTCAATAACAATTAACCTGTGTTCTTGTTCTTATGGAAATCCAGAGCAGAGATCAGGGTTCAGTTCAGACACGTTCCTGGCAATTTGTACAAAAATAACTTTGGAACTGATTTGGATAAAGCAACAAATGAGCTAGTGCTTCGCTTACAACCAGATGAAGCCATATACTTGAAAATCAACAACAAGATTCCGGGTCTCGGGATGAGACTTGACCGCAGTGACCTTAATCTGCTTTACAAAGCGAAGTAAGATTTTTCATTCAACATTTCAGTATCCCCAAAATTCAGCATACATCTGCATATGATACCTTAGTTTATGAATATAACTAGATATGATAATAGTTTATATAAGAATGTTCTTGGCCTTTTTTTAAGGTTCCAATTAATTGATCAAGAAGTGGTGTTTATCTATACAAAACAGTTTATATAAGAATGTGCTTGGTTTCTCTAATCTTTGAAAGTGGTTTACTTCATTTTCTTGATTTCTTTTGCCAAGGTATCCAACCGAAATACCAGATGCCTATGAGCGGCTCCTCTTGGACGCAATAGAAGGAGAACGAAGGCTGTTCATTAGAAGCGATGAGCTCGATGCTGCATGGGCGTTGTTTACACCTCTTTTGAAAGAGCTGGAAGAGAAGAAGATTGCACCAGAGCTGTATCCATATGGAAGTCGGGGCCCTGTTGGAGCACATTACCTCGCTGCAAAGCATAATGTCCGGTGGGGAGATCTTTCTGGTGAAGATTGATTAAATTATACGAGCTGCTGTTCTTTAGTCTCTCCCTCTCGAGTTTGGATGCCCCTCGAAGTACGTACACCTATGCCTTCTCTCACTTACTTTCTGGAGTTTCGGCTGTCACTCAAAGCATAGTCATTTGTTACAACCTTCTGGGTTGTAACAGATTCTTTTGTTTCCAACATGATTTCTGTTGTGGCCTCTTTTGATGCCCAGGAAGAATGATGTTCAGGCAGTTCTTCCCCCAGAAAATTGATTATAGGCTGTACAGTGGGTGGGAAAGAATCAATAAATTGTTGTTGGTACAAGCAAAACCAATAAATTTGTTATATGAAATCTGTATGATTGGAAGATTTGGTATTTAGACTTGTGCTTGAAGAACAACATAACTTGAATAGAACTGTATGATTTCTTTGAACTGTAATATGAAAAATCACAGATTTTCCATTGGAATCAAATTTTATTGACTTGTATGAACGTGATGATAATTAAAACATAAAGTAATAAGAATATTTAAATATAATAACTAAATTTTGTTAATTTTTTTAAAAAATAAACTTATTAGTTTATAACTAAAAATAGTAAAAAATTAATTACAAATTTTTAAAAATAATTACACACTAGTACATATTTTACTATTATATACTATATATATTGGTTCAAATGCAAACCGTGCTTTCCGTGCGGATTCATCATTAAGTATGTAAAAATGCACTATCATGAAATGCATCAATGCACCACACTTAATGGTGTATTTCTAAACACTTTGTGTTACATTTATCCGTACCTAATGATGAGTGACCTCAGAGAGAGAGAGAGAGAGAGAGAGTTAATTTCACTTTTGGTCATATGACTATTGGGGTGTTGTTAATTTCAGCTCCCAAGTTTCAAAACTGTCAATTTAGTACCGTAACTATTCAATTTTTATCAATTTCAGTGCATCCGGCCAAATTTCCGGTGAAAAGTGGCTAGAAAATTTTAATGAATAAAATCTTGAGGGCAATTTAATCATTTGCTCCTCCTCTTTTCTTCTTCTCCCGCCAAAATACCCTTCTTTCCATTGGATTCCTTAGGTTTGGTGGAATTAACAGTAGCAGTGACTCAAAATAACAAAATATCAACTGATTAAATAGTTTCCCACTGGGGTAGGTTGATCTAGACTGTTTTTTTTTTAATGCTACTAACTCTATTACACATTGTCAGGTCCGGATTTTGGGCTGTGCAAGCTGAGCTACAGCACAGGGTTCAAATTTTAGAGGGGCCCCAAATTTTAGAAGCTCAATATTTTATTTTTACCTAGTTAGTATAGTAATAAAAATTAAACGTTTTTAATTAAACCAAAAACCTAAAAGGCTTTATAAAAAAATGATAGGAACATGTATTTATTGTATTTTAACTTTGAGGTCTAATGTTCAAAACTTGTGCACATTATTATTATTATTCCATAATATGTCTATTTTTACTTGTGCGTTGCACGGAAAAGATTTGTTATAATCTTTAAATTATAACAACGAATATTATATAGTGCAATTGATGAAATGGGTTGTATCGAATGTGTTTTTTTATGTTATCCTTGCTTGAATTCGAGCAAATAATTGCCCATTATCCGTGCAGTGTGCGTGCGATGCACGGATAAATTTTTTGTGTTATATATTTTGATAATAAAATTACGGTATTTGTTTTAAACATTTTAATTTTGGTAGAGCCTTATTTATTTACTCAAACATGGCCACAAAAATTTAAAAATCGGCCCTGCACATTGTAGTATGTGTTCATCTATACTCTTTATATTTGTTGAAACACAATGAGTCAACACTGCCTCTGCCTCTACTTAGGCTCGATCTCATGACCTCCCATATGGAAGAGTCACTACATACCATCTGAATATAAGATGCTTGGTGATGTTTGGATAGCTTACTTGTTTGGTTTTTAAAATTTGGTAACATAGGCCATGGGTTTGAAGTTTGAACCCCACTAGCAACCCTTTCTTTATTTTAGCTTTTTCTACCCCTTCACAAATGGAGAGGGATTTTATTCCACCATTTTTATATCAAATTTAAATATTTTAATTTGTCATATACATTTTTGAAGGAGCTTTATTCTACTCCGCAATTTTTTTTTTTAACCTTTAAAATATTTGTGCTTTATATCACATTTTGATATTTTGTCATATACATTCTTTGAAGAGACTTTATTCTAACTTCTTTCACCCTTAATATATTTGCTTTATATCAAATTTTAATATTTTGTCATATACATTTTTGAATTCATTTGAACTACTCTCACACAGTCACACTCTAAAAAAAATTCAGAGCGTCATGGCACTAGTAGTATTTTTTATCAGGTAAAAACGACTATTCCTTTCACAAACATAATGTGACTTCTTGGTACATGGTGCCATACTTTGAATACTTCAAAGTATTGATCCTTGCACTCATAGGATGCATGCATGTGCCATATTTGAATACTTCAAAGTGTTGATCATAGATGCATAACTATTCTAATTTTCTTGCTTATAATTGACCACATGAGTCATGAGTGAGAGGTTGATTATATTGATTGATCCTCATTGATCATGACAGCCCTGTCACCTCATCAACAGAAGGTGTTTTAAAAATTATCTTCTTCATTTGATTAAAAAAATTATTTAAAATTGCCCTATTTATCACCAAATCACTCCTCATTTGAAAATAGTTTATGTGGAACCATAATTAATGCCAAATTAGTGTTCCATAATATGCTAAATAGGTAGCATTTAAACTCAATTACATTATTCACTCAATTTATAAACTTATTTTACATTTTTTTTCAATATACAATGGTAGAACAACGTTAGTTAATAAAAAAAAATTTATACAAAAATTTTAAACACAAGAAATATACCAAAATACATTCCAAGTCTAAAAGGAATACTTACAAATTTATTTCACTTTTGATTTATCAATTATAGTGATATTTTTCATTTTTGACCATTGATTTTGATCTGTTTCATTTTTTAATTCCCAACTGTTAAAGGCTTCACTCTTTCACTTTTAATCTAAAATGTTCAAAATGCTCTTGATTGTAGTAGTGTGAGATTTGGCAAAATTTTCAGTCATTTTAAGTATTTAGGACTAGTTAAATATATGGAGTATAATACTTGTAAAAGTCAATAATGACTAACTATGGGACAAATTAATGTTGAGAATTAAAAGTGAAAATATCACTATAGTCTACAAATCTTCAAAACGAGCTTAATTGAGAAGGTGTTGGCAAAAATTAAGTCGATCTAATTTTGAGATTCAACACTAAATTGTACATTTATGCGAACTATGAGCTTAACCCAAACACAAACACCTCAATGTTCATGACAGAAAAATTAAACCCTTACCTTACCACTAAAGTAAATCTTAAATGAGACTTTTCATAAACTAAATCTATGCTTTGGGATAGAATTAACAAATAATACTTCTTCTCCCCAAAAGAATTTCCAACCCCAATTCAAGGCCCCCAACATCCCGACTTAACAGAGCATTTAGAAGGATGTAATGGTGACTCAATGACTCGACAGATTGGGCCTGACTTTTCATTTAGAATTAACAAATACTTCCATCTTTTACATCAAGAGGGAGAAAGAGAAGAAGACAAAACATACATACTAAAGGAAATAAGGAATGCAGACCAAACTTTTCCAAGTCCTCATAGTCATACTTTAACCCAATATTGGCACTACCTCTGTTTATTGATGCAGAAAGAGGTTTATGTCCTCTAGTGGCTACATTAGTTGTTGCTGTCCCATCTTTGAAAATTTCTTTGCAATATTTCTACATTGACTAAGGAATCGTGTGTCCACTTTCTTTCTTTCCTCATTTACTTGGAAATTTCTAATCTGTTGAGCTCTTGTTTCTTACACGTACTGTTTGGTATATGAAATTTTTATTCATTTCCTACCTAAATCCCTTTATTTTTAAAATTGCATTATTTACTTAGAGCATTTCCAATTAAAGAGAAAGAGTGAAAAAAAAAAAGAGAAAAACATTTACTTAGAGCACATCCACAGGTAATGACTATAGATTGTTCTTGTCATTCCAAAGAAATTATTAATCCAACATAAATATTACTCATACTCACTTTTTATTTTATTTTTTATTTTAACATTACAAGAAAATACAGAAATATATATCAATTAAATACTTGTGATTTTTTTTTTAAATCAATTGATAAATTTGATTTATATATAGGCTCACCCAAGAAAATAAATAAATAAATAAATACAGGCCCGTACAGGGTGAGGTACATGGCAATCATTATTGTGTGAACTATATTATCAAATAATGTAAATTCAGTGCACAAATAATATATTTTTAATATATTAAAATGATTGTATTCAAGAAAAGTACATTATTTAAGTAATGAAAGTATATTATTTTGTATAATTTACTTTACTACACAAATAATATACTTTTAATATATTAAAAATATATTTTTTATTATGATCACACAATCATTTACCCTCACATGGCATAGTATAATTGAATAAATAAAGTCACTTTTTTATTATTTTATTTTGTTTCATGCATCTTAGATATTGATGATCATGACAGTCCTTTCACCTCATGTATTCAACTTGTTCATCACACTATTAAGCAAAATATCTTTAGTTTATCATTCTAATTTTCTCATATGTCCCACTTCATTGGAGTGCTCCACTGCACCAAACAACAAGGTAATTGGACTATTGACAAATAATGAAAAAAAAAAAAAAAACAAAAAACAAAAAACAAAAAACAAAAACAAAAACAAAAAAAAAAAAACAAAAAACAAAAAACAAAAAACAAAAAACAAAAACAAAAAACAAAAAAAAAAACAAAAAACAAAAAACAAAAAAACGTTTTGAAAAAGTAAAAGTAAACGTAAATTTTATTTTTTTACCATCACCTACTCTCCAATCTCGAACGTGGTGCACGATGGTAAAAACTTGGACTTCAATTCCAGAGAATGGAGATGCTAGCATGGGAAATAGAAAACATGACTAAAGTAATAAAATTGTCAGGAAAACCAAATTCGCGAGGAGTAAATTCAAAGAATCCCCAATCGAGGTTATCATACGCTTTCCTAAAAAAAAAATTACGTTTACGTTTACTTTTAATCTAGAAAGCAAAATATATTTCATTTTCGCTATTGTGAATTCAACTTGCAATCCTTACAATAAAATAATGAGTAAAAAATTTGTGTGAGACGGGTTCATGTATTCTTGTTCATGAGATGAATTATGTCAAAATGAAATATAATACGGAGTACTAAATAATGAATAAAATATTTATTACTTATATGAAAAAATATAATACTTTTGATGACAAATATAATACTTTTACATTTTAATGT